ACGCGACACACAAGCGGCCCGACTGCCGCCGGTGGAAGTCGTCGGCGGAGATCTCCTACGAGGAGGCCCTGCGGAGGGCGAGGAGGAACCGGCGGGAAGGTGTGGGGGTCTACTCGCAAGTCCCCCTGCCCTACGTCAGCCCGTACGCCTACGTTGCCAGCGACTCGGAGTACTCAGCGGAGTGCGAGTCCTTGTTCCACTCAACCGTGGTGGACACGAGCGAGGACGAGCAGAGCAACTACACGACAAACTGCTTTGGAGACAGCGAGTCGAGCCTGAGCGAGGTGGAGTTCGTGGGGGAGAGCACAACCACCAGCGACTCTGATGAGAGTGGGGGCCTTATTTGGTCTCAGTTTGTCCAGACGCTCCCCATCCAAGCGGTCACGGCGCCGGAGCTGCATGAAAATGCGGCGAAGGCCTTTGTCAAAATCAAAGCCTCCCATAACCTCAAGAAGAAAATCCTTCGCTTTCGGTCGGGTTCGCTGAAGCTCATGACAACCGTCTAGCGAGGTGATTTGGTGGAATGTATCTGCTTCTGCTTTCGGAAGCAAGGTGCTTTTGTGTACATATTTCCACAGATTTTGGTTTTTTTTATACAAATATTTAAAACTTAAGGTAAATTATGTCACTTGTCTTCAGAACTTGGGTGGATACTAGTGCCTTTTACGTGGAAATAAAAGACCATTATACTCGTTTAAAAATAACCCAACATAACACTGCCGTTTCAGTGGTGAACAGCCTCCAGTGCACGGTATCAGAAGGCTTAGACAAAAGGCTAATGTTTCTGGGAATGGATTTTCCTTGCCTAGTTTTTCCAGTTCTGGGTCTTATACAGGATATCAACAGCTTAAGGTCATAATTTTTTAGGGTATAAGGGGGAGGAAGTGTGGGTGGTCTTCATGTCTTCGCTTGTCCCTTTCTGCTGCTTCTGTTGCCACGGCTTGAACTTCTTCCTCCTAGTAGTCTGGCCTGGTTTCTTTGTTGTTTGTTTTTTTTTCTTTTCCTGTTGATTCTCTTCTTGAAACTCACCCCTGTCCTCTCCCAGCCTTCCTCCACCAGGAAAGGGCTCCTGTTCAGTCTGTCTCCAAGGTTAAGTCGCCTTCTCTGGAGTGCGCTCCCGGGAGTCCTGCTGCGGACGGCAGTGGTGTTCAGAGTAAACTGCTGGAGCAGCTGACCAAGGCTTAGTAACTTCAGTATATTGTGTAAAACTGCTTTTGGAAAAAGAAAAAAAACATATGCATGTCACGTGCATGACTATCAGTAGTTTTAATATTCCTATTGATGTCCAATTTACTGTACATCATCAATGGCTGTTTTTATATATATATATATCATTGTGTAAATTAATATAACACATCATATGCTGTAATAAACGGTCTGTTTTAATACTTTTTTAAAGTTTGTTACGTTGCTGCAGACCCAGTGAATGGTTTTATACTGGCATTGTCACCACTTAGATGTCTCTGATGTCAGCTGTTATTGTTCCCTAAATTTAGCCATGCAGAAAACAAGCAGGTTTTAAATGTTGCTGTGGATGTGACTTGTGCTGTGAGGGCACTGGATTGTCGTGGCTCCTCTTGTTCTTCCCATAACTTGCATTTTTTGAAGGGCAAGGTGGGATTTAGGAGCTCAGAGGCTTCTTTGGGTTGTTGCTTGTGGGCAGCTCATATTGCGGAGCAGACGGAAATGTGATATTAATCCTCCTCGCTGTCAGGGTGCTTGCAGACTTTGGTTGGTGCAACACAGGGGCAGATGGTAAGTTCCTGTAACCAAATAGATCTGTGTAACGCAACAGCTGTCCTGCT